ATTTCAATAAAACTATAAAGAGGTTTTAGAAAATATGAGTTAAGTGCTATTTCGTTTATACAATCAGTAGCTAGTCATGACAACCAATAAACATCCACTTTCACATTGTGAGCATCCCAACTGGGGGCCAAATGTAAAGAAAGATAAACTGCAGATCTAATGGCTAACAGATGTCTGGTATTCCTGCTCAACCCCTCCACCTGACACCTAATCCCTTCTGGCTCCAACTCCCCAGGAGAGCCTGCATCCCCGCAGGTACACACTTCCCTCCCTGCAATGTCCACACCAGCCATACCTTAGCCAATTCCTCTTATATTTTACATCTTGCAGACATTTTACACCAGTTGTGACCTCCCCCTGTGTGTTCTGTGTTAAGCTTTGGAGGCTCCTTATATAATATGGCTGGAATCCCTGGGGATTCCCTGGGATCCCCTGGGAATCCCTGGGGAGGCGGGGGTGCTGCTGGCCAGGCCCCGGGGTGGGCACCACCCAGCCTAGGGGAGCAGGCGTTAAGCCTCTTCCAATGCTGCACTTCAATGTGGAACTGAGGGCTGTGAACTTTTAAAAAATCTACACAGTGAATTAAAGGATGAGATGGGCTGCGAGCAAATAACCATTCAACTTTATGTTCTCTTTGAACTAAAAATCCTCAAAAATGTCTTTTAAGCTCAATTACTTTAGACTGATGAGAAAAGTTAGCAGTTGTCTTACTTTTCACCAAATCACATACGATAAATGCTGCCCACAATGATTTTTATCCCTGCGAATATGCTCAAAGGAATCTCACGCAAGACTTACAAGGCAGTTACTTCTAAACAAAAGGAGAAGAAAATCGAAATCGCCTCCTTCATCCCGAGAGAAGTTCTTAATGATCAGATTCGTAGCAGAAGAGAAATATCAAAATCACAGAGAGGTTAGGGGATGTGTGAGGACACAATTCATGGTGCACAGTCAGAGGGTAGAGACACCAGAGGGCTCCCATGCAGCCTCAACATCCCTGTCTGTCATGGGAGTCCAGGCTCCATCTGCACATCCATGGATGGAGAAGTGGGAGGAACCACACACCCAAAGTCAGGCGCACTCAGAGATGACATAATCTGCCCCCACCAGCCACTCCGGGCCTGAAGGAGAGGAGAAGCTGGTGGGTTGCACTGTCAGGTGCCCAAGTGGCAAATTCCTCGTCACTCAAACCCTGGCACTCACGGACTGCCGTCAGCACACCACCCTCTCTCCTCCCTGTCCCCATCCCCTGGCAAAGAAAATGGATTCCAACCCTGGAGTTTTAGATGCACACATGATGTGGGACTTCAAGAGGAGCTTGTTCTCCTTACATGCATCAAGAGGCATTTAATGAGCATCTACTGTATGACCCACACTGTACAGGCATTCAAAGGGTGGTTAGTCCCAAGGCCAATGGCTGAGGCAGAGATGCCCTGCAATGGCATAGCCTGCACACCTTGAGTCACAGAAGCTTTGACACACTCTAACCTTGCTTGATTTCCAGGGGACACCCAAAGCAAAGGAGGAGACCCTGCCTGCAGGGAATGGAACAATGCCAAGTCTCCGAGGGCAATAGTACACCACGCAAAAAGGCACCCAGGAGCAGAGAAAGCAGCTCTGCATGTCACCCTCAAAACACTGGACTTTCAAGGCATCCAAGTACCTCAGTGAGCCACAAGATAGAGGGTGTAGCCTGAGGATCATAAAGGTACATGGCCACTGGCCAACCAAGCTCAGGCTGCTAGGTCCAAATTGTGGTTCCCAAGCAAGGGCAAGTTTGCCCCCAGGGACAGCCACCAATGCCTGGAGACATTTTGGTTGCTGCAGCCAGTAGAGGTGTTGCTAGCATCTCGTGGGCAGAGGCCTGGAACTGCTAACTACCCTCTAATATGCAGGTTGGCCCTCACAGCATACCATTGGCCTAAAATGTCAGTAAGGCCAAGCTTGAAAAATCTAGGCCAAATATTCTGCCACCCCGAGACACAAAAGAACCTTCTCTCGCCTTCCCAAGCCACTGATAAAGGCCACATGGCCCAGCTGTCACTCCTCCCCAAAGTGCAGGGAACCTGATTACCATCTGTATGTCAGTGACAGGACCCAGAGCCCTGTCTGTGCTCCTGATGCTAAACACCAGCCTTCTGGGGATATGCAAGTAGGAGAGGCCTTGCCGCCCCACCTACACCAGCAGTCTCTCTCCCAGAGCGGATGCACAATATTTTGATACTCTGGAAATCAGGGGGAAGCTGGCAGCTGTGAAAAGACAGTGTTTATGAAAACAAAACCCAAAGTGCCTGAGTGCATTACTATGGGTGCATAATAATGGTCCAAATGGTTAAGGAAAGCCCCAAGGATTCTTGCTCCAATGCCTCTGGGAAGCATCTGGCACACCCTCTCTCAGGCTTTGATTCTGAGGGGACCCCAACGAGTCAGTAGGAGAAGAGCCTGGGGTGAGTTCCCGGCACCCACTCCCAGCTGCTCAACTCCAAAGAGCAGCCAGGATGCATGCCTTGGGCATTGGCTATAGCTCATTCTGAAACCAGTACCAGTGAGCCCAGACTCACTAATGACTGGGGTGACTCCTTCACTGTGACAACGGGGAGTGGATTGGTGAAAACCATGATGGCAGTGCTCAGTAACCTGAAGCCTGAGAAGGCCGGTGTGAAGTCACACACAGATGCACGTGCATGCACACACCACATATAACGCACACATGTGCACATATGTACGTGCATACACGTGCACATAGGCACGTACATGTACATGCACACGCAGGCAGTCCCTTCCCCTTTCCACCATTTTTCCCAGATGAGGTAGACTACTGGCTCATTGGAAGAGTAGGATCAACCTGTTCTGCTCTTTAGGGGAAAGAAGAACAGAGAAGCCGTGGAGCACTGTCCCGCGGTGGAATTCACCACCATCCTAAACACGAAAACGCCCCATCTCTGTAGGCACTGCTTTCACCTGTGCAAATGCCACCACGCAGCCTCATGCCCACACACAGGCCAGCTAGGCCCCACTCTCTAGTAGAAGACAAGCAGGCCCTGGGGGTGCGATGGGCGGCATATAAAGCAGGAGACACGGGGCAAAGTCTTCCCGAGCAGCCAGTCCAACAAGCTTGAGATTCTTATTATCAAACCTGGCACAGAATCCTCAACAGACATGTAACACCCCCTTCAGCTCTCTGGGGTCAGTTCGGACAAGCCACAGCCTCCGCAGGCCTCACCGCACTGTCTTTACTGTCACAGGCAAGGGGGACAGCATGGTCAGGAGGCCCTGGGGTGCCCAGACCACACCCCAAGAGAAGGCCAGCAGCAAAGGCTGACTCCCTGGGGTCTAGGAGGCCTGCTTCAGGCAGGTAACACAACCCGCTTCCAGCCCGAAGAAGTGTGTCAGTGAGACTGGTCCTGTTCAATAGACTCTTTATTTGAAAGGTTTTGCAAAACCAACACCAAGTTGAATAGGCCATGGGCAATGGGGCCTTCTCTTGCCTCAACTCACATAAAAGGAAGGCCATCTGCAAGGGGCTGGTGAACAAGAGACAAGGTCCCATGTCGGGAGATGGCATCTGGCCCCCGGTTCCCCACCAGCCATCATCTGTACAACACACAGCAATCTTTCCAAGGCCCTGGCTGAGTAAGGACAATGACCATGAGCTGAACACCAGTGAGGCCCCTCAGCAGGTCTGCCTGGCTTCATGAGAGGCAAGACAGGGCCAGACGAAAAACCAAAGCCTAGACCCACAGGGTGGGGGTGTTTGGGGTGCTAGTCCAGGGAGGCTTGGAAACAATACCAACTCCACCTGGGCCTGCTTTTAATCATCATTGTATGCCAGTAACTCCCAATGTCATCAGGGATTAACTCCCCCTGTCAGAAGGAACCCCAACTCTGTCCTCCACACACTTCTGCCTAGGAGCACACAGAACAAGCTGCTTACCACATACAGGAAACATTAATAATGATACGGAATTTCAACTCCTTGGCATCTGCCAAGCACCATGCTAAGTGCTTTTCTATGTCACTAACACGAGGCTGAAGTCATGCCCCCATTCTCCAGATCAGGAAACTGAGGCCACAAGAGGTGAGCTACTTTGCCTAAAGTAACAGAGGGTCACTACTGCTAAATGCCAGTAGTGAGACTGTGAGACTGGACTGTGAGACTCAAGGGTCCCATCAGGCCTGAGTGACCCCAGCCCCTGGGAGACCCACTGACCCACCACCCTGCTCCTTTTCACACACTGACAGTACAAAGCAGGCCCCAAAGCAGAAACAGAGCTCATGAAAATGAACATTTACAACACCTCAGAGACACACTCAACAGGTCAGGAATGCTCAAGGCCCCTTTTGACCCTGGGGCATCATGAAATCAAATGATAACTCAGGACAAGTCCCTTTTTTGCATTAAGCCACCATTTCTCCAGGAAATTAAGAAAAAGTCAAATATGATTTAACATACGTTTAAGAGTTGTTCAGCATTTGAAGAAAATTATGATTTATGGCATTTTACCTATTAAGGTCATCAACTTCCCGCCAACTGAACAATAGACGCAGAGCAGGGCCCCATAGGTCGCCAAGTGCCCCAGGCACCCACAAACTCATGCAAACTCGGTGCACCCTGTCATCTCTGAAGACTCAACTTCCTCCCCTGTCCTTTCATTGCACTGTCCCTAAGACTCGCCCAGTACTGCAGGTACTACCGGACTTCCCGTAACACATGTGCCACCTCCACTGGCACAGCATGTATGGTGTGTGCTTGGCACTAAAGCACATGACTGCAAGATGGCAGCAGGAGCCGCTAAAGCACCAGCACGTGTCCCACAGCATAGATGAACTACAGTCTCCACGGCAGCTTCAATTAAAGCAGTGAATTTAAGAAGTCCTCAAACTCCATCACGGAGCAAACACACCTTACTGAGCTTTCCCCCAAAGAGATCCCTAAGCCTCTGCCTTTAGGTTCTCCCCCCACCAGCCCCTGCTTTCCCTGAGTCTTCTCCCGTCCTCACCTGCAGTCAGAGTGTCCACGTCCTTGGCTGCCAGCTCTTCCACGTCTGACCTCTTTCTTAGCTCAAACCTCCGGGACAAGCCTTCTCGGGGTTTCCACAATTCCTGGATCAAGAGGGGCTTCTCATTATCCCCAAAGACCCGAAAGCATTCAGCCTGCCACTGCTGCCCAGGGTCACCAGCCTGGCCCACCACGTCACACAGCACATACTGGCTGGCGCACTCTGGGCTCAAGGCATAGCGCTCCAGGGCCTCCTTCACCAGCTCCTGGGCGCTGGACATGCCGGTGGCCAGGACGCTCTTGTAGTGGGTACCCGTGCAGACACTGTCCCCGAACACCTTCAGGACCCCAGGGGCCGAGAGCTGGGTGGAGAGTTCTGCAGGGTCATCGCTCGCACCCAGGCTGGAGAAGGTGGTGTCCAGGTCTCGGTACTTGTAGCTCAGCGTCCGGGACAGCACGCTGGATAACAGCTGGCTCTGCCGCTTCAGCTTGCTCTTGGTGGGTGGAGACATGATGAAGTGGGTCCCATAAAACATGGTGGGCCAGTCGTCATGGACAAGGACTGAGGGCTCTGGCCAATGACAGGGCAAAGGCTGTGTCCTGGGAGAAAAACATAAGGGTTAGCACTGACCATCATGAGTGGCAAAGCAATCAAGGCTCAAGTGAATTTTGATGACTCAATAAGCCACCCAGGGCCTGGTTTCACAACAGAGCCAGCAGGCATGCTACATCCGGCCAAGTGCCACGAGCACCTGAGTCAGAATTCTAACAGTTGAAGCCAGCAGGAACCACAGGGGACAGAGCAGGTTCCAATGGCCTCAAGCACCCTTCAAGGAAAGCCATTACCGGGAAGCACGATGAGGTCACCAAAAGGTAAGACAGGCTCTGCCATAGGGTTCTGACTTCTGCGGAGAGCCAGGCACATACGCCCTTGCGGCAGGCAGCCAAGAAACAGTGGCAGCGGGCATGTGGATGAGCGTACTTGCCTAGCAGAATCGTGCAGGGCTGGCCCGGTCTTGTAGGAGGCAGCCCACAGAGGGCAGCAAGCCCAATCCCCTTAAGCTCAGCCTCTCCTGCACCACAGCTTCTAATATGGGGAATGAATCCCAAGCACAAATGGATCCAGGCAAACAGGCAAAGTCACAGACACGTTAACAGAGTACTGAGTAATCAGACATTCTGCACATAGATCCGCAATACATGGCTCCTCGATGACTGGCCGTGGCCTGGAAGAGCTGCTTCCTCAGGATAGCAGCACTACAAGGTCCACACGAGTACAATGGACACAAAAGGGCTCTTCCAGAACCAGGGGAGGCATGAGTGGAATGTATGCATTCCACCCACCACATCCAGCCTGGTATTCAGGCCCTGTCCCAGCCAGAGATGCGATCTTGCTGGGGAAATTAGAAACAGCTCAGGGACGCTTTGGTGTGTCATAAAATCATAACTCTGATGCACCTGGAGCTCGAAGGACCTAGAATTCTAAGTTTACCAGGTGCCCCCTGCTCCCTGCCCAAGCGCTGTAGGAGCAAGAAGGCAGTCTCTGCTTCATGAACACAGAGACTTTGCAACAGCCAGAGGACACTGAAAAACTGTACCCATCTCCTGACTACTGCATCCCGCTTCTCTGCTCATGTGCTCACCAAACCCAAAAGCAGACCAACCAAGAAATGTCTACTCTCTCAAGGCTCTGGAGACAGTGGCCCAGGTCCCAGTGAGGACAGCAGTGGGCATGGCCTCTGTGACTGGGAGAAAAACGGCACTCAGCTGAAGTCAGGGTCCTGTCCTGACCCACTCCTGGCTCCACGGGCACTGGAGAAGGCTTTCTGGAAGTGAAGCTGTGTGTGGGGGGTAGGAGAATGTCACTGAGAAGCCACCTAAACAAAAGGGCCCACACGGACCCCAAGGGAACCCACAGTGGACCTGTGTTTGGGCCTCTTGCTAGCTCCACAGAGGCTTCTGTCACATTTTGTAAGCCTCTCACTCCACCCAGGGCTTTCACTGAGGAAGCCTGGAAGCAGACCTGCCATTCAACTCCTCTTGACCAGCCTGGGTCTGTCAGCCACCATACATCCTCAGAGAAGCCCCAAATCTTCAAAATGGTTCTGACAGCTTCTTGCACCAAAGAGCAGGTTCCAAATACTAACGTTTGCCCTTTGGGGGTGGGTGGAGGACATTCGTGTTCTATAGCCTGTTATTTATGCTTCCCGCCCCCCCCCCCCCCCGCAAAGCTCTTTATTATACACCAGCTTCCTGAAGCCTAGAACTCTCTTAAAGCAGTGTCCTAAACAGAACAAGCATTTGGGGTTCTCTCCAGTCTCCATGAATCAGGGCTTCAATTCTCTCCCCCTGAGAAATGTGTGACCCATCTCCTTGTGAAATTCTTTTCTTTTTTAAGTATTTTTTAAAAGATTTTATTTATTCATGAGAGACACACACAGAGAAAGAGAGAGAGAGAAGAGAGACAGAGGCAGAGACAGAGACACAGGCAGAGGGAGAAGCAGGCTCCATTGAGGGAGCCCGACGTGGGACTTGATCCCGGGTCTCCAGGATCATGCCCTGGGCCAAAGGCAGTGCTAAACCACTGAGCCCTCCTTGTGAAATTCTAACTCTGGCCTCCCCGCATGGGCCCATCAAACACAGCTGAAGCTTTTTGGATAGTACCTGCATACCAAGTTTGCATGCCACACCGGCAGCCCATACCGGTATGAGCCTTCTGAGAGTTACACAACCCTGCCTCTCAGGACACCTCAGCTCAGAAGCCTCTAGGGCCTCCGCAAAGTACCCGAACCTTCCATAGACGCCCTGCTTACCTGGCCCCCTCCTCCTCCAAGCATTGGCTCCAGGGTCTTGACCCAAACCCAAAGTGGCCCAGAGGCTTGGAAGCTGCTGCCTTTCGAAATGTCTGAATGTGAACTTAAATATGATGTCCTAAACTGCAAGGAAGGCACCCAGGTACAGCATAGAAGGGGAATGCTATTCTGTGCCTGGCACAAGGTCCAAGTTCTGTAAGGTCTGAAGCATATACAACTCTGCTTTAATAAACAAGAAACAGAAGCTTACACAGCTGCTAGGTTCCCTCCCAGGGACTCAGAAACGAGCTCCCCTCCCTTCTCTTCAGCAGGATTCCAAGGCAAAGTTAGCAAAATCACATCAAGAGAGAAAATGTAGGACAGACTGTGATCTATCTGTTCTCTTCAGAAGCTCCTTCTTAAGCCCCAGAAGTCCCAGCAAATACAAATCCTGGTCTATCTGGCCAAGGAGCCTTTTTCTCCTCATGGTCATTCTCTCTGTGGCCACTTTCAGAAAGCAGCCACCAATGGTGGCCACGTGTTCCCTTGCCAGCATCCTTCACAATTGCAGAATGCAGAGGATGACCTAGTTGTCCCCCTGTGCCAGATGGTCCCTAGCAAGGGCCAGAGCGCAGGTACACCCTACAGAGTGGGGTGTGCCCTGGGTAACTCAATCTGGGTTTTGGAGGCATGACCTGTCTTTCTCTTTGCTACCCACTCCTCTTTCACACAAATATTTGGGGAAACAGGACCAACCGTGTAGGACACTTGCTATTGCACCTCTCAGGCAATGTTTTTCTCTTGTTCTCCAGGAAGAATCTAATTTCTGATGAAAACAAGCTCAAGTCACCCCAGTGAGTGCAATGAGTGAGGTCAGTGCCGGGCTGACGAAATGGGTGGAGACACATGGCCAGCCCAACACCACAATGTGGAACTCATTAGAATTTCCACCAGGACAGGGAAGGAAGAGGGTAGACTCCCAGGCTCTGCTTTATCCGCACCGTCCATAAATCCTGTTTTGAGAGCTCTAGCCAGAGCAATGCTTTTAAATACAAAAATAATTTAATCAGATGTAATTCTGACATGCTACCCTCTTGAGAGGGGACTTTTTCCTCCGATTGGATTAAGGACTGGCTCCTCTCTGGAATGCACAAGAGGTGCTAACTGGAGACACCTGTAATCACCTTCAACTTGCAAATTCTTTTGGGCATTTCAGATTAACTAAACACTTAACAGGGAGAGAGAGAGAGTGTGTGTGTGTGCGCGCGCGCGCGTGCGTGTGTGTGTGTGTGTGTGCGCGCGCGCGCGCGCGCCCTTGGGGGGGTGGGGGGGTGTTGCTGAGCAGGCGGGTCTGCAGCCTCCCACCATCAACCGGCTCCCTGATGGGAAAGAAGCCAGTTTCTTCCTCGGAGGCCCCCAGGAGCTCCAGCTCAGCATCTGTTTTCTTAGATCCAGTATTTGTCGAGGGGCTGGAGGTGGTACAGAAATAGCTGGGAGACAATGCTTTCAGCTGGCACCCGAGTGGGGGAACGCGCCGCCGTGTGAGCAGGAAAACCAGGACCAGCTGTGGGCGGGTGGAGGGGGGATGTCACGCCGACCCTGGAACGAGGGCGCGGCCCCGGGTGCCCTGCTCCCCCGCGGCGCCCGCGCTGCCAGACGCCCTCGAAGGGACCACCAGGGAGACTGAGGCCCTGGGGTGCCCTGCAGTGGTGGGGCCGGACTCCCAAGTCCCATGGCACCGCTGCCGCAGCCGGACCCTGGAACCTGCAGGGCCGACCGCCCTCACCCGCGCTCGCCCCCCTTCGGGTCCCGCCCCCTCCCCACCCCCGGAGCCGCGCCCGGGGCCGGGACACCGCCGGTCTCCATGGCAACCGGACAAGCCTGGCCGGCCCGGCCCGGGAGATGCCCTGTGAGGGCCCCGTTGCCCCAGCGCGCGCCCCGCGGCCTCCCCGCCGGCCGGCTCTGCGCCCCGGGACCCCGGCTGCCGCTCCTCGCGCACCCTGCACTCACCTCCGGCACAGCCCGCCGCCACCGCGTTCCCGCGCCGCTCCCACACTGCCGTTAACCCGCGCGCCCTCGCGCCCTCGCCCCGCGCGTGGCGCGGCGCCTCCTGCCGGCGGCCCAAAGGATGGGGCGGGGCCTGTGAGGGGGCGGGGCCTCCTGCCGGCCGCCCAAAGGACGGGGCGGGGCCTGTGAGGGGGCGGGGCCTCCTGCCGGCCGCCCAAAGGACGGGGCGGGGCCTGTGAGGGGCGGGGCCTCCTGCCGGCGCCCAACGGACGGGGCGGGGCCTATGAGGGGTGGGGCCTCGTGGGGCGGGGCCTCCCTCTGCCGGCCACCCAATGGATGAGGACAAGTCCCCGGGGGGGTGGGGCCTTGGTGGGGGCGGAGCTGGTGAGGAGTTGGGCTGAGCGCCAGCGCCACCTGCCGGCCAATTAATGGATATGGGCGTGGCCTCGAATATAAGGGCGGGAGGAGGCCTCCCGGAGAGGGCGGGGCTAACTGCGGAGAAAGAGACCAAGCAGCCCACCCTTGCCTGCAGCTCAAGGGGTGGTGCCTCTGCAGGAGGAGCGGGGTTGGTTTCTCCCGAGGCCTCTTCCTTGGCCTTCTCCTCCGTGTCCTCCCATGGACATCCTTCTGTGTGTGTCTGTGTCCTAATCTTCTGTTACAAGGACGCCAGTCATAGTGGATTAGGGCCCACCCCAGTGACCTCATTTTATGACTTAATCACCTCTTAAAGGCCCCACCTGCAAATATAGTTTTGCTCTGAAGCCTTAGGGGTCAGAGCTTCAACCTATGAATTTTAAGGGGACACAGTTCAACCCTAACACTCATCTTCGTCACCTGGCCAATCCCCACTCTTCCTTTAGGACTCAGATCAGGTGTTATTTATGTGGTAGCCAACCTCCCAGGAGATCTCCGATGATTCACACCCTCTGGAACTGTGTAGTTCCTTCTCGTGTTGGATAGGGCTGATCTGTGTAATCACTAAGATCTCACCAAAATGACAGTGTGACTTCTGGAGTTAAATTATAAAGGATGTGGCTTCCTTGCTCTCTCTGGGATCACTCACTCTAGGAAAAGCAGTCTGTCATATTGGGAGAACACTCCAGAAGCCCTAGAGAGATCCACATGGTGCAAAACCAACAGCCAGCACCAACCTGCCATCCACATGCATGCACCATCTTGAATGTGAGTCCTCCAGCCTCAGCAGCCTTCAGTTGAATGCTGCCCTGACCAACATGCTAATTGCATCTCATGAAGGACCCTGAGCCAGAACCATCCAGCAAAGCTGCTCCCCAATTCCCAATCCTCAGGAACTGCGGGATGATATATGTTTCTTATTGATTTCACCCACTGAGTTTGGGGAAGTTTGTTATGCAGCAAAAGATAGCTAACACACCTTATCCAGGAAGGGTTCCCTGCCCCCCACACTTGAATCTACACCCCTCCTCTGCACTCCCACTGGTTCACATTATATCAAACTATGTTCCTTAAATGCAAATGAGATGTTACTCCTTAGCCTATGCTCCTCCATGACTCCCCTTTGCACTTAGAATAAGCAGACCTCAAACCCTACCCCAACTGTCCCTGCTGCCCATGCCAATGCTCCCTCCATCACAGCACTCTAGCCATACTGAACTTCTGTTCTCAAATGCACTGTTCATTCCCACCTCTGAAATCTTTCCCCTTGCTGCCTCCTCTTCCTCAAATACTCCTCCTCTTGTATCTGCATGCTGGCACCTTCCCCTCATTAAAAGTCAGCTCCACTACTCTCTCTGGACTCATTCTCTTGATGGCCTCCATCTCATTACTTGCATTATTTAATTCATAGGCATTTATCACTATTTAAATGTATTTGCTGTGGGGCACCTGGGTGGCTCAATGGCATCTGGCTTTGGCTCAGGTCCTGATCCCAGCGTCCTGGGATCTAGTCCCTCATTGGGCTCCCTGCAGGGAGCCTACTTCTCCCTCTGCCTATGTCTCTGTCTCTCTCTCTCTCCCTCTCTGTCTCTCATGAATGAATAAATAAAATCTTTAGACATAAACATACATAAATAAATAAATAAATAAATAAATAAATAAATAAATAAATAACTGTATTTGTTGGAGTATTTAACACCCACTGAGGGTCGTGTTCTGTAAAGGCGGGTACCTCATCTGCCTTCTTTAGTGCCATGCTGGTGCCTACGAGGTACTCAATAAATACTGGCTAACTACGTAATCAAAGGAATAAATAAATTTCCACCCATCTCCTTCTCATCCCCTCAACTGGAAACTTATCAAGGGCAAGAACTGAGTTTTATTCATCTATGTATCCCTGCGCCGGGCCCAGGGGCAGGTGAGCAAAACAAGTTTTTGAGCTGCAAGGTTGTCCATCTTTGGAAATCCACGGAATAAAATGGAATGCCACGAGAGGGCAGCAGAATCCTAGGACTCCATCAAGGAAAGGCACCAAGAAGCCCAAAGAAAAAGCATCTGGTTAACACCAAAGGGCAGGTTCCCCAAGAGATGACCTGTCTAGGGGCAGAAAGACTGGGCTCTGGGGGGGGACCAGAAGGGAGGAAGGACAGGTAGCAGCAGGCACGTGGACTTAGATCCCAGTCTTTCTTTCTGTCCAAACAAGTGATTTAATCCTGGGATCCCATTCTCAATGAACTCAGCACCACAACCTACAACATCAGTGCTCTGGGTTCGGCCATTCCTTGTACACTCATCAGGCAAAATTCACTGTTACTTTCCTTGCTGTGTCATATGTTGAGCAACTTCCAGTCAACAATGTAGTACACCTCCTGGCACTGGGGATATATGGGGTATCAGGTCTACAGAGTAATTATATTTTATTTTATTCAGTTTAAAGTTGATATGTCTATTCTGATGTAGAGGCATTTGCATCTGTAGCTTGGGTAAGATACTTAATTTGAAAACACAATTCAGGGACGCCTGGGTGGCTCAGCAGTTGAGCATCTGCCTTTGGCTCAGGTCGTGATCCCAGGGTCCTGGGAAATCTGAGTCCCACATCAGGCTCCCTGCACGGCGCGTGCTTCTCCCTCTGCCTGTGTCTCTGCCTCTCTGTGTGTCTCTCATGAATAAATAAATAAAAACTTAAAAAAAAAACATGATTCAATGTATGGAGATGGGAAATGAAGCCAGGGGTAGTAGGTGTGTTTGATTGAAACAAACAAAAGTCTCAGTTCTGTTCAAATGGATCATGTCAAATCACTTTACACTTGAGTATTTCATCTGTTGCATAGAACCTGAACCACTTACTTGATTGTCAAAGATTTTAGCTCAGGTGGGACCTAAGAAATCATCTACCCCAGTGGTTAATAAACTATTCAGGTGGGGAAGCCTCGAGGCCCAGTCTTGGAACTGGGGAACATGTGGGATAGTATTTCAAACCAAGTAGAAGTTAGGATCAATGTCATTGGCCAAAAATATGACTTTGTGATATGATCACAATATAAGATCAAGAACATGAGCATATGTAGCCTCAAGAAACACAGTGTTGAATTAAATATGTTTGGCTGGGTCTGACATTTCCATTCACATTAATTTTTTCTATTTGTTTACTTGATTTGATGACTGTGAGAATTTGTTATAGAAAGTACCATTTAGTTTGTAATGTATGTATGAGAAAAATAATTAAGATCGAAAAAATACTATGCATTAACTGTTTTGAAATGAGAATTGAGAACAAGTGGCCATTTTTCAAATTGGGGAGAAACAGCTTAGTCCAGCTGGATATCATTCTAGTGCCCAAGACACACGTGAGAGCCCTTAATCTAATTCCACGTCTACACTGAAGCCACGAGAGGCTAATGGACTTGCCCAAGAACACAAAATTTTATTAACAGATCACTTCTCCCTTGTTAAATCACATTCAAGAAGATGTGCAATCAGGATAGGTTGGGAATATTAACAGTGATTATTTCTGGGTGATGGAGTTTGAGGCAGTTTCCAAAGATAGATAGCCCTATCAATATGTCCACATCCCACATGCTCCTCTTCCACTGTAACTCGAACTCTCCTCCATCAGGTGGTGGAGAGGAGGTCTGCCTTCCCTCCCCCTTGATCTTGGGAGGACTTTTTTTTTTTTTTGGAAGGACTATTTAGCTGTGTCCACCATAGAACATAGGAGAAGTGAAGACTTCCAAAGCTAGATCATAAAAGATCGTGTCTCCTACCTGACTTTCTTTCTCTTGGGACCCATCTGCCTTGTTGTAAAGGGAAGCCCAGACCAATGGGGAAGTCACCTGGTGTGTATTAAGATGTCTTTGCTTTTGATGTTTTCATATCTGGGACCTTATAGCAGCATGGGAAGACTGTCCTTCCCAGGGGTAGCCAATCTCTGGAGAGTAAACAACTCACCTGCTAAGATATACCTTTCATATGCAAACCAACCAGTCGTTTCATATGCAAAACAACCAGTCTAGAGACCATGCCTCCCCACCTCCTCTATTGGGCTCTTAGACTCCAGACCAATATTCCCCTGTCCTCATCACCCCAGGACTAAGTGTCACACAACTAGGGTCAGCCCCTATGCCCCAGAGCCTGCTGAAATTCTGCAAACTAGCCACCCCCAAATCTGCTAATCCAAAATGTCATCTGTTCCGTCCCTCAGAAGCCACAATAAATCTAGTGCCTATGATTTTCTCTGGTCCACTCTGTCCCCTGATGGGCCCTGAATAGGTGGTATCCTATGCCCCCTCTTCCTGGGAACTCTGAGGGACAATCTGTCTTTTCAATGTCAATCATCCCCTGATCTCCTGGCCTTGCCACACCTGAATAATAAAATCTATGTTTTGAAACAGGATGTCTGGTCATCCAGGGCCCCAGGAACCTACCAGCATCACCCAACGGGATCTGTGAGTGAAAGCACCTTGAGGCAATTCTCAGGCCAGCCTTCACATCCTCCACCTGAAGCCCATACTGAGTTCCCAACTGATGGAAGTTGTGAGAGATGCCAATGATTACTGATGTTTTAAGCCACTACAGGGACACCTGAGTGGCTCAGCGGTTGAGCGGTTGAGCGTCTGCCTTTGGCTCAGGGCATGATCCCAGGCCCTGGGATCGAGTCTTGCATCAGGCTCCCCTGAGGGAGCCTGCTTCTCCCT